TATATAAAGAGATAAATGAAGTGGGGGGAGGGGACAGGGAGATTAAAGAAATACTGCAGATGAACGTTCAGTCGCTATACAGTTCAATCAACAGGAGTCAACAAGACATCAAATTTAACGTCCACTATTTACATGTAGAGAAATAATAAAGTGCACTCTCCCAATACCGATCCCCCACCACCCCCGCTCCTCGGGACCGCTTACGATGTTCGGATTTCTGGAAAGTTTGGTTAGTGTAACATATCTATTAAACCCTTTTCCGAACCAGCATGTTGTAGGCCAGCTTGGCTATGGCCTAGCCGCTGAAATAGGCATAGGCCTATCTAGCAAGAGACCTGTGGGTTCAGTATGACTAGCCTTCGAAAAGTTAACATGCATAAAGTATACTGTACAACAAATCTAATTACAAATAAAATGAATGCTTTTATATTGTTTTTAGGTCTGATATTTTTTCCCTAAACCCAACACATTCTTCGTATCGTAGTCACGATGCCACTTGCTGGTCGGTTGTTGTAAACATCAGACATCAGGTCGCGCCTCCTAAACTCTGCCAGCTAATTGGTTAATTTTTTTCGTGGGGTCATGTGCAAACATGTGCTTGGCTGTGATGACGTCAGATCGCCCAAAGTTCCATTGCGTGTCAGCTTGCTGATAGAAACTCAGTGTATTTCGCCTATATTTATAAATTAAATCGAAATAAATCTAACAAATTTAAATTTCATTCTTCACAAATTTCCTCTGTAATTAAATTAGCAACATGTTTCTCAAAAGTGTCTTGTTTGAAAAAAAGTGAAGCTATGCATTTGTAATTTACACTGATGAATCTAACGACATCGAAATCCGAACAAATATCTACAAAAAAAGAGTCAGCCATCGTAGAAACTTGCTTTGTGTTCCGTCTACATTTCAGGTTGATTCCAATCGATTTTTAAAGAGCGATAATGCACTTTATTAAACAATGGCAGGTGTAATTTTCACTTGATCTAACCATGTAACTTTAATGTTTACTGGTGTGTCGTTTTAAATCAAAAGATAATCTCTAGCAGCAGTACGCTATTGGAACTGACAAAAGCAGTACGAACGGTTCATTCACAGGGTTTTGTGCTAGGCCTACATTTGTTAATTCCTAGACAGCAATGTGATTATTGCGTTTTTTCCTAGGCCTAGTATCTTTTACGTTGGTAAATAATTGCTGTGGTCAGCAAAGCTTGCGTCAGCATTTCGAGGGCTATGGAGATGAGTTATTTTGAAATGTAAGCAAGCTATTTTTCACACCCCTCGATAGCAGTTTAGGTGTGCGATGGTGCGCCTTACAATGACAAGGTCTGAAGTATTCAGGTGGGAATTGAACCCACGTGCTCCAGGCTCCAGGTATCTAGCATGGTGTCTTAAACACCTGACCCCTGAGCTTGCGCTTCGTGGCTAGTAATGAATCTGATCCCCAAGTACAGTAGGAGTAATGCTATTCCAACTGTGGGTCGCCTTGCTGACCAGGGCTTTGATAAACTGATCAACATTTTCTCTTTTTATCTTGTTTTCTAGGCTGTCAACATTGATTCCACGGATGTCTCTCTCTGGTATAAAATAGGCCACCTTGCCCTTGAGTTGGTGCATGTTCCCCTTGCAAGAATAGCATTTGAGGAAGCATACCAATGCAACCCCAAGCACTGGCCTAGTCTTGACAATCTGTGTACTGTTTTATATGCTCTGTATGATTACCCAAGTGAGTTTTAAGGATGTAAATTGCATCATTTTGTAAGAATAAATGATTTTCTGTGTTGAATCCATTTATAATTTGAATCCAATCATAATTCTTTTGATTGTTAACAGTTCATTTATTTTATTATGTAATCTGATATAAAAGTATAATACATACTCCAAGTATTAAAATGCATGTCATCATGTTGGGATTCAATATTTCAACATTAATTATATCTTCATCAGGAATGAATTTCTATTAGTAATCTGATATAAATTAAGAAGTTCAATGAAAACTTCATTCAGTGAAAATAGCAGTGAAAATATTTTTAAAATGTTATCAACCTAATTTAAATTAGATACATCGATTGAACAAGCTATACAGTAGGCCTAGTATAACTTCAATCAAGTATATATATTTTAATCAAACTATTATGTATTTATACAATTTTTTATTTTAACATTGGATAACACATTAAAATGTGACATCACATTCAGATACATATAGATATTTCAGTATGTTATAATTTTTAGGTTATATGTAGCCTGCTGGAGCCATTTTATCCACAATGCAATTGTATTTAGTATGTTTTTAATACTTTATTCTTTATCTGTATAGCCTGTGCTACTGTACGAGTAGTATAATGCCTTGACTGGGACGAATAAGTTATTTATAGTCATTGTGAGTGACTAAAAAACTGTAGGTTTATTTCTTTTTTGTAATTCAGAACAGCATTAAATGTACTTTAATATTTTTCCATTTAATAGGCTGCTTATATTATATTGCTAAGTGTTTTGAGCTTGATGCCTGTTATCCAAAAGGTAGGTGAACTATATGATATTATTATGATTTTAGCATTGCATCTCCATGAGGTTAGTTTTTTGTCGAACATGCTTTTTGTGTCTCGGAAAATCAGTTGTACAACTTACCTGTATCAATTGTTTTTCATCCGGAGATCGGACTTTAATAGTTATGAAGATATTTAAGATCCAACTAATGTCTCACTCTAGCAAAATCCTCTTTAAAGCAACTATAAATGTATATGTTCTGAATAATTTGTGACCATATACAGTAAAGCCTACTACAGTATGACCAAGATGGCTAAGATAGGTATCTTGGGGTCAAAGGTCATAAATATAACTTCCAGCCACTAATGGGCAAAATATTCAAACTAAAACAACTAGAAATGTCTTTGTTCAGAGTGCTAAATACTAGCAAGTAGTGGGCATGGAAATATCAATTACAAATTTTTTAATTGATCCTGATTGTATTCTGTCATTTAACTTCTAATAATTTGTCATGATATAATTGTATTAGTAGTTGTTTTGCCATTATAATTGCCTACAGTAAAGTGGACAAACGGAAATGAGCTTGATTCTTCATTCTATTGCTCATAAACTGACCTATCTAGTCTTCATTTCCTCTTAGTTAAACATCTCTACAAATATAATTAATTTTGTCCCATTAATTACTTTCTGCAGGTCATGTTTTACGTAAGAAGATCTTTTCTGAACAGCCAGCACTTGAACGAGACACTTTAGCACTGTTTGAACAATGGTAAGCTTGTATATACCAGTCACCCTTCTTAAGAGTCACCTTCACAATTTATTTAATATTACATTATTTACAATAATGAGGTCTTATGTACCTTTTAGTGACTTTTTTTTTTTAATGGACTTTTTTGTGCTTACAATTTTTCTGTGTTAAGCAATAATATGGAAACTAGTCTTTCTTTAAAAACTTTTTTTTAAAATATATTTGTATTTCATTTCACCACCAAAAGTCAGAATGCCAATAACAGGGAGCATAGATTAATACAATATAAAATCACTATAAAATCGATAAAATTCCCAATGAAAACATTAAGAAATATTGAAAGCAGTACAGAAATATTCAAATCAGATGAATTTACAAAAGAAACATTGTAAGAAAATTCCATAAGGAGGCACAAGAACAATGCTTGAAAACCATTGACCAGTAATATTTTCTGCAGTAATCTGCAAAACCATGTCCTACCACAAAATTCAGTTAATAGTGTTAATCACGATCGCCAAATTATCCCAGACGGCAGAAACGCATCTAGGTCAACACCCTATCACGAACGCGTCTGAGAAATCAACCATTCTAATTACCATGCTATATGAATATTCATTTGCTACACGCTTGAATTACGGCTCGCTTCTGGACGACGGTGAATCGTTTAGACGCTTGTTGATCGTTTGAACGATTTTTTGTTGTTTACTACTATACTAACAGCGCGGTCAACTAGCCCACTTGAGTGTGTAGAAATACTGGTGTTTCAAATAAATGTTATTATGCAGCTCATATTCTTTCTTATACGTACATGTGGCTATACTTTCTCTATGCATATATGAAGATTTGTAAATTACATGATGACAACGTGCCCGGAGGTCCAGGGCGCGGTATGCGCTAAGCCAGTTCCGTGTTCCATTGGAATTCGCTTTGTACGCCGTAGATAGAACTACGTTGAGACTCTAAAAATAGCGTTGGGGTTTTCTTTGCACAAGTGAAGGAGGGTAAATTGTCATTACAAATCACAAAAATCTAGACCTAGGTAGTCTGCCTATCTTTTTTTATCCTCGCGCATGGGTGTTACTCACAATTTTCTGAGGCTACTCTCTACTGTGTATACTATGCAGCAGTGCATTTTCTTTACTGTAAGTTCTTCTGTAGGTCCTCCGAATCGAGAGATGTATATTTGGTTGACTAGTAACATTTAGATAAAGACAATAACTTGTCATATTAACAACCAATCATGAGCTTTAGTTTTGATTTATTATTTAACTGATTGAACAGTCCTCTTTCAAATAAAACTGCAGCGATCTCGAGGTCAAGACTTGTGTGCCGAGAGCGGGCCCAGAACCATGTGTGCAAACAAGTAGAGTACTGTACTGGGCGATTTAGAACTGTCTATTTTCAAATGGGGTATAACATTTTTTTTTGACAATTACTTATCTTCAATTGTTTTTCTTTCTCTCTTTTATACAGCAACAAATTTGTGTGTGCTGCTGAAATAAAAGTGTATGTTCAGTTGAATGAATAAATAAATTACCGTAATATCGCTAGTTGTCAGTAAAACCTTTACTGGGTAGGCAACGGTTTTGCCTTACATGTCTTTATGGAGTCGAAATTTGCGGTGAAATTCGGCATAAAAAAAACGTGTTTCGCATGAAATTCACGGAAATTCAATTAATAAATGTTGTTTTATAAAATGTAAATGTAATTAAGCTTAGTATAATGCAAGATTTCATCTATTTGATCATGGACAATGTTTTCGGAGGCATGGGTCTTAGCACGTGATCCCTTTCAACGGCAAAGAGAGCAGTTAATTGCTGTGCTGAATATTACCACAGCTGCACAGGATGGTGATCGCGCTTCTTAAAACTGATGGTGGCCTGCGACTCCCGCTGCGACTACATCGGAAATAACTAAAAAATCGGATTTTTTAATGTTATATTTGTTCATCGATTCGTAAAATCACTGGTATCATGATAGTCTCACCTATGCACGATACTAGGCCTACTGAACGACGTCCCAGTACCCAACCGGCTATTTTTTTTAGCATCGATTAGGGACAAAGAGACGTTCGCTTGCAGGTAAATAAGTCCGTACTTGGGTATAGGGCCGCACAGTCAGTCGTATTATGATTCATTTATAGAGAGTCGTCTGGACGCGTTTTACGGTGCATCCAATCGGCCATAGTTAAAGGGGAGGAGAATAGGCCGAAACGGAATATCAGCGTCCAAACGATGTGCTATTCAAACAGTGTTTTCAGACGCGTTTTGGTAGAACAATAGAAAACGCGTCTGAACGCTGATTTGTCGTCTGGAGTAATTTGGCAATCGCGCCTTAATGTTTTGATTTTTAAAGCACCTTATATAAGGGAGTAATAGTGCTTGCAACATAAATATCACTGGCCTTTGAATCCATGGATAGGCAAACCAAGAATGATAAATAATCTTTATAAACCATTATGCTTTTTCTTTATCTTTCTCAGTAATGAATGGATCTCTGACAGCAATTTCATTAGTGAAGACCAGTCGCAAAAGGTATTTGGATGGTATAATTCACCAATAACTCTTGATAATGTGTATTTGCTTTTTGTTTCTAATTTCTGCTTTCGGCGTTTGTTTTTATCACTCGTTGACAACACATTAAACCCATTCTTAATGGTTCGCATGAAACTACAAAAATGAACTTGGCTTACTTCATCATGTTTATTCTCAGACTACAAGTCCGTTTCATCAAGGACTTTTAACTGTTACCAGGATAGGAAGCTGGCTGGTTTAGGCCGTCTAACTTGAATTAGCCTTATGTGCGGTATTGTTATGCAAATGAGCCAGATAAGCACAATCTGCACATGCTCAGAAAAACAAAACTTTCCTTAGCCACACCTTGGCAACACCACGTATCGGCTAGGCGTACAGCTAGGCCTAGCCGAGAATTACGGTACGGTAAAACAAAGCAAAATAAGGGTACTAATTTCACTTGGCATGCAAATCAATCATACTTACACACTTAAAAACAGACTAGTCTACCAATAAAATCACCTGCAAGTTAAGATATAAGGCAAGTATGTCTACAAATTTGATTTTAAATTGATGTGATTAGGCTAGCCTAGACCCGGCCTAGGCCATGTCTAACCGCTTATAAAAAAAGAGACAAAAAAAGTCGGAATGAAGTTATCAACTAACTAGTGCATTAAAATTATTCATATACTTACTACTTACCTATATAAAATTAAAATGTATTGCTCACAAACGCCAATATTTGGATTTTAATACCCCTTTTCTACGAATCGGTAGAAATGTTGAAGTGATGACAAACAGCCTAAGTCAGCGGTGCGTAATAAGATAAGCTAGGCTGCTGTACGGGTACGCCTAGCCGATACGCAGTGTGGCTAAGGAAAGTTTTGTTTTTCTGAGCATGTGCAGATTGTGCTTATCTGGCTACAGTATATATGGTTTGCATTTCAATTCATTTCAACTTTTATTTTGGAAGAGTTTCCTTCCATAGACAACAATCACAAGAAAAACAAGCACCAAACAGCAAAAAAAAAAACAAACAATATAGATAAATAACATGGGCCTGAAAGAAGTTAATTAATCACTCAATCAATCAATCTGGCTGTTCCTGCTGAATCAGAAATGAGGTAAAATATTGAATTTCCTTAAAGCAATTTGATCACCAAACTGTCATAGAAGACAGAAAAATCATAAATGATCGTATTTCTATTTGTTTGGTTAAATTGTATATAAACACCGACAACATTTTATACCGACATTCGATAAGAATTCCCAAAAAGTTTAGGCTAAACCATTGTGTATCTGGTGAAATTAACATGTATTAATCATAGCAAAAATATATATTTATTTATACCCCTTGGCATTTAAAGTAGATTGGTGATTTGTAGTATCAGTGTAACATTAAGAGTGCAATCTTTGTTTGAAGAACTGAAAAAAAAAATGCATCATTGACCTAGTCCCAGTCACTGGGTCGTTGCCTACAATCGCGAAATATGATCAAAATCTTGTAAACACACTGCACACAAACACACGTGCAACACAACCCTGGAATCTGTTTCCCCTCTTCTCTAAACTAATTCCTCTATGCCTAAACATTCATCATCAATAATTATAATGAATTACCAGTTTTAACCAGTTTTGCAGTTTTTGTTTTCAAAGCAGCCTCAAACATTGTGCATTTAATGAGAATTATATGTCTTCTTCAAGATTACATAAAGTATATACAGTAAAAAAACTAAAAAAAAATCATCATAATAATTTCAGTGGTATCTTGTGTACCTAAAAGGCAGGAATATTATTGAAAAGGGGCAAAATGTGTGATGATAATAAGTACAAATTTGACAACTTGCTTGCTGAAATCCCATATTCCAGATTGTATATGTTGTCTTTTAATGACAATAATGGTGGTAGTTACACAGTTGAACATCTTGAAAATCCCTCTGATGAAAGGTTCCACTCATTCAGCACCTAAATACCTAGAGTGCTGACTAGCTGACAAAGCCATGTAGAGTTGTGGCTGCCATTAGAAAGTGCCTCCTTCAGGCTTAGGGTGCATAACAACCATCAGTAAGACTACCGACTGTTATTTAATTTATCAGTATTATTTAAAAATTATTAAACTATCAAGGCCAAAAGGAGTATCTGATTTAAAAATAAAGTACTGAGAAATTAACAAATTTAAATTTACAGTGATGGCAACTTTGAAATGATGCTTAGCGTATTATGTTTGGTTGAATCTAAAGCAGCATTCTTGGATGGTACACACACACAGCTCTGCATATCTCGAACATCAAATACATCGCAGTTAGTGCACTAGTATTCTTATTATACCTCTGTTGTTCACTGGCGATGCCCTGACTGACATATCCAGATGCTGAGCATTGTACAAACAGTACTATGCAAAATTATTGGTTTGAGATCACAGCATGAAAGTTTACAATTTGTTGATAATTTTCACAAAAGATGCATTTTTCCAATTATTAGGCCTATGGTCAGATTTTGGTAAAAATACATGTCTGTTTTCGATTTTATATTTTTTAAATGTTAATTTCGGAAGTGGCATCTCTCGTATTTGTAATTTGAGTGCAAGGAAGACCTTTGAACAAAATTAAAAAAAAAATTTTAAATGCCTACTTGATTTTTTTTGGAAAATTTTGGTCGGTCATAGAGGGCAACACAATTTTTTTTTTTGTGACCTTATACTAAAGTAAAAAAGACTAGGGTGAGCAGGACAGAAATGAATTTGGTAAACTTTTTACTGTGTACGTCTCATCACAGATATATTGTGTCTTTATTTTTTTAACGATCATTAACAAATATAAATAATGTCAATATTATAATAATTATGTTTATTTCAAAGTCTACAAACACAGTGCAAAACCGAAGTCCTTAATAAATGTCTGGTATTCAAAACCTACCAGTCTGAAAAAGTGTTACAACATAGATCATCGACGTCTTGATCTCAAGAAGTGAATATCAATTCATATTTCAGATTACTTATAGGAAAAATAATGACTTTTACCATTGTTTGCATTGGTGGACCCCTCAAGACATGACAAAAGTCTTCATGGACTTCCATGTCTAAATGTTACTCATTGTTGATATTCCAACAATAAGATTATAGATAGAAGATTATTCATCATAAAAGTACAATGAAACAGTGGCGGATCCTGGAATTCAAAATAAAAACCACATCAGCCCCACCATGGCCGGAAATGGCACTGTCAGACTTATCCCACATTTATTTTTTAATTTTGTTAAATTTAAAGTGACTCATGGTTGATATTCCACCAATAATATTATAGATAGAAGATGATTCACCACAAAAATACAACATTAATCCGTGGCGGATCCTAGAATTTGAGGGGGTCAGAAAGTCATTTTTACAGATAGGGGTCGATACCCCAGCCCTAATCATGGTGGGGCTGAGGTACAACATTTTAAAGTTTTTGGTACATCTAGATGGCTGGAAATGGCATTGTCAGACTCAATTTTTAAATGTAATGGGATTTTTTCCCCCATTTATTTTTAACTTTGTAAAATTTAGGAACCCCCTCCTGATTTGTTTTATTCAATATCCAGGGAAAAGAAATACAAGAGTTTGTTATCTTAGAATTGTCACTATCACATGGCTCTCTCATGCTAAACATCTTTACATAAAGCGTACATAAAAAACAAATATGACAGATTCTAACAGATCAGCAATAAAATATTGTAATTAAAATACAATGCTGTTTAAAACAATTTCAAAGTCTTTGCGTATGTCAAAGTATTGCAGTATTGATAAAGGTACCATAGTGATGAGTACCTATTGATAATAATAACTTCTACTTGTATAGTGCTTAATGCAAAAAAACATCACGAACAAAAAAAAATGGAAAAATGATAGAAAGTCATGACTCTAGGCCTATAGTTGTCATTTAATTACAGAAATTTTATATATTTATACTGCACAATTTTTAGGTTCTTTTTAAAACACAAAAAAAGCAGAACATCCAAGATCCATTAATATTGTCTGTTGCACATTATAAAATAACAGAAAATTGAATTACTCAAAATTCATATACTATAAAAAATAATCTGAAACAGATTTAGAGATTTTAGACTGGTTGGGCTTTGGGCATGTTCTGCCGTTTTTATGGGTTCATATAATATGAACAGTTATCTAACCTTTAGATAAAATATTATATGTTTATGTTTATAAATAATTTTTGGGAAATAGAACCTCAAGGCTGTCTCAAGGCTCTCAATTGAAGCAAAGGCATCAGCTCAAAATATGAAGGAACTCGGCTGATCCTTCCTGAAAACTACAGGACGTGATCAATTTAGGCTTTGAGTTAGTTTTGTCATTTGCACATGTTTATTCGTATCTTGGCTTACCAGACGAAATATGCACAACCAGATTCGCAAAGAATTATCATATCTTTACACACACTCTATATTAGCTTACGATACTAGTTTCAATATGTCTACTAGCTATAATTGTGCAGTGCATTTGTTCAATAAAATAAAAAAATAATTCATTTTTAGCGGTTTATTTTGTCTTGCTGGAGAATATCTGGATATTTATTGAGCCAGTTATATTTAGTAAAATAATATTAAATCACTGAAAAGTCACGTTGAGCCACGCTTCTGATTGTCAATTTAAATTATGTGATTTTGCACATATATATATTTTTAGTGGTAACTTATGTTGTTTTATTTTAAATAAAACTGACTAAAGTGATTGGATTTTATTTTATACAAAATACACACAGTACATACAAAAGCCTTTTTACGTACGATATGGGACCAAAGGGCATACATAAAACGTGAGATTTGTAAAAATCCAGGTTAGGTCAAATTGTACTGACTTTTGACCTTATAGTGACTCTAAGAGCAACACACTATTTTTTGGCCTTAGTCTACAATAAGTAGGCCTACCCTGTGTGATGATGTTTAATTACATGCTGTTTGATGTCAATGAAGTATTCAAAGAAATGCAACGTTCCCTATTTTGTGTTTACTTCGATTAATACCGCACG